ATTTTCCCTCTCAATATGCCTCTTTTTTATCCTGCTGGTAGGAGAGGAAGAAAGTTGTTGGCAACCATCCTCCCAATCGAATCCCATAAATAATCTGGCCCGTTTCTTCCGTGCCATGTTCCAGAAATTAGTGAACACTTGAGAAAATTCTGAAAACTTTCAAGGTAGCAGGACAGGTTAATGCAAAATGGAAAAATAAATCCTGAAACTTTACTAGAAAGGAGAGTCAATGCCCCTACTTCTATTATGGATGAATATCAACCTTCAGACCTGGAAATGATTCATTCATGTTCATCCTTTTCAGAAAGAGCAATGGGGTGGGGTTGGGGGACATCTCACATTCTACAGTTCTGAAGGACACCAGGTTGCAATATATTGGGTAGATTAAATGGATTGAGATTTCACAGGGAGGAATAGAGAAAGGAAGATCACAAAGCAGAAAGGGGCAGATGAATAAATGGGAAGCAATGTGGGAAAGAGGCAAGAAGCATGTTGTCAAAGGGGCTGTAGAAGAAACAGGGGTCTGTTTCCAAGGGAATAGGTGTCTCAAGCAGAGCGGATACGGCAGATGTAATCAGACAGCTTCAAGGCAAGTGGACTCCAAACAGAGTTCAGGCCCCTGCCTGGCAAAGGCAGACCAGCTCTCCAGCAAGGAGACCAAAAAAGAGCTATGGGAACCCAGCAAAAGGGTAGCTTTCTGTTAGTTTCTCAGCTTTTGAAACACCTACTTTGGAGTGTCACTTTCCAACCAGGGAGACAGAGTGTTTGTAAAAAGCATAAATTCTTGGAACACAATCCGAGCAATCAGAATCTTCTGGGGTCACACCTGGTATCATTGATAAATGCCCTAGTTGAGTCTTAAGCACAATTTAATAACCAATGGCTGAGAAGATAAAAGTGTGTTCTTCAACTTCTTTCGTTCTCAGAGTAAAGGTCTGTAGTTTCAGAGGTGACTGTGTCTGTTTTTAGTGGTGAGGAGGTACAATCAGACTCTGAGGCTGAAGCACAAATTACAACTTCATCAGAGCAGGGTGGGGACCAAAAGAGACTACTTAGGAAAGAGAAGAGAGATAAAGGCCTTAAAAAATCATGTCACCCAGACAACAGTCATCAAGGCCCTAATCTGAGATCACTATGCTAGGTGCCAACAGCAACATACTGCACTCTCCCTCAAAGAACTGTTATTCAAGTTTTAGGCCTAAAAATAAATTTGGGAGTAGAATTTCTGTGAAGGAGAAAAGTCTAATTAATTAGAAATTTGTATACATGTTCACCTAATTTGTATTCTCCAGCAGATAAGCCACACTAGATAAACCACGTTCAAAATCAGGAGTTCTGACAGAAATC